TGAACCGCAGGTTTGTCCAGGCCCTTCCCGCGGTGGTTTGCATGGAGCTCCAGCTCTTTGTCTTGTTGGGTAGTTTCCTACTGTGTGAATCCACCACGATTTATTTATCCATTCTCCTGTCTTTGGGACGTGTCAGTTGCTTCTGGTCTTGGGCTATAATGAAAAAGCTGATAGAGCTGAATTCTCTATAGTTTAAGCAATCTGATAGTGAATTTAACCTTTTATCGACTGTGATTGCAGGTAACTTACTTTGCTATCTTGTGTGTGTTTTCTCTTGAACTATTATAGCTTTTCTGGTTGCTTCTCCTGCCTTCTGCTGACTCGATCCAACTTTCATTTTAAAATTCCTCTTCCTGAACCACATGTGGACTTTAGAAGCTTTAACTTCAGTCTCACCCCAAACTGCCCACGATTATTAATTATTTACAGTCAGTGCCTCAGGCTGGTGTTGCCGTCCTCCTCTCTGGATCCAGCTTCGCTCTCGCTGTAGCACATCCTTCAGTAGTTCTTTCCGGTGACCTGAACTTCCTGGTCAGTGGGCCCTGTGGCAGCCCCCACCCGCCCCATGCGCAGTACAGGCCTGAGTTTCCAGCGGTTTTGTCTTGTTTGAGACTTTTTTCGTCCAGGCTCCAGTGGCAGATGGTACAATTTCTTGCGGGGGATGATCTTTTGGTCTGTTTCTTCCCGGCTCTGGCCTCAGAATCTCACCGGGTAAAAGCCCTGACTCCTGGCGCCCCTCCCTTCGGCCCCTGAACCCTCATCATCTTCCGCCGGTGTCAGGCTCAGCTACGTTCATGTTCACGCTTGCTGTGCTGTCAGCGCCTCCCTGAGCTGGAGGAGGGAAGAGACATTTCCCCCGCAGTCAGGCAGCACCATGTCCACTCGACCTGGGGGTGTAATTTCCTTGGCCTGAGCCTCCATCATTAGCAAGAGCCTCAGCTCCCATGGGGCTGTGGTCTCACGATGGGGATGGAAACTTCAGCTAGTGGTGAACAAGGTGAACGTGGGCAGAGGTGCTGGCTACGTCAGGCTGCGTGCTCTGGAAAGACTTCTCTGAGCCGGGTGGGCGTGAGCTGAGAGGTGGGCTTCAGGAGGAAGTCGCTTCCGCAAAGGCCAGGGTGGGTGGGCCCCAGAGGACTAGAGGGCCAGGGGTGGAGCGGTCGGAATCGGAGGGGACATGGTCTGATTAGATGGGACTTTTGACAATAAAAAGGGCCCACGGGCTGCGATGCTCGTCGGGCCTGGCCTGGTCAGCCCAGAGGGCTGTAGTTAGTACTGAATCAGGAGGAAAAGTCAGCAAAAGGAGGATTTTGGAGCCAGAAGGGGCTGGCTGACAAACCGCCCCTTTTGATGGAGGAAGCTGAGCCGTAGTCATTGCAGCGGGGGATGGTGGGGGGAGAGGACAGCTCTGCGCAGAAGCGAGGACAGCCAGGTACTGACCCACTGAGTTCTCGGCCATTGAGACGCCAAAAGGGGGCCTGTCTGCCTGGGCACAAATCTTGGGGCTGGTGCCCCAAAGCTGCCCACCTCCCAAAACACGACCTTACAGTGCTCCCCTCCACACCCAGCTCCACTGGCTCCCCCAGTCCCCAAGATGGGCATGGGGGCCTCGGGGTGGGTCCCAGGTAAACGGTGGTGGGCTGAGACCCTCCTCATCACCATATCCCCCAGTCCTCCCACCTGCCCACTCGGACTGGGTGTGGGGCCTTCCTGGGAGGGGCAGAGCCGTGAGCGGCGTCTTCTTGCTTCAGGCCTCGCTGCCTCCTGAGAGGTTCCTGAGTCTGTACAGCATGGGCTTCCGCCCCCGTGAGCGCAGGGCGGCGGGGTGACGGCGCTGTCCCTCCCCAGAAGCAGCGGCAGGGAGCTGGGTGGGAGGAGGTCACATGGCTGTTTCCAGCCGCCTTGTGCAATGGCCTTCTGAGCAGACTCAGGGCTGGGCCCCAGAGACAGACCGGTCGCCCCCCATGGGCCAAGTCCAAGGCCAGGAGGCAGGAGGAGCCCACCTCCACACCCCAGGACCCCGGGGCAGGAGGGGCCAGTCCAGGCAGGGGTGGGTCACGCCAGGTTTTCCCAACCCTGCTGGGCGGTGACTCTCCGGAAACCACGGGGCGGGGGTGGGGGTGGCAAACGCTCCTTCCCCCGACTGTAACTTCCTCTTGTGACGGGGGTGGGGGGGTGGGGGTGAGGGTGGTGGAGTGAAGCGACAGAGGATGGGGTGTGGGTGTGCACGGGTCTGCAGGGGCAGGAGGGCCCCGGATCCCCCTCCCCAGCTCCAAGGCTCCGCTAGGAGGCTGCTGCCTGCTCCCAACACAGGCCCCCAGACTCCTTCCCGCTGGAGCCTCCAGTCTCGGAGCCCCCACCCCCAGGCTTCAGTTCCCACTTCCTGGCCTGCAGCCCAGGGTCTCTGGCTCCTCAGGACCCTCTCCCGCCCCCTCTCCAGCCTGCCCCTTCCTCCTTTCCTCGGCCATAGCCTGGGGCCTCCAGGCCCCCACTTCCCCAGCCCGGGTTCCAGCCTGGACTGCCGCGGAACCCCTCACCCCAGGCGCAGCTGCCCTCTGCAGCCCCGCCCCCAGTGCGGCAGCCCCCCCACTCACTGAGGCCGGACGCCAGCGCCTGCTCGTTGGCCCACATGGCCCACTCGATCTGCCCCATGGTGGCGATCCGGCTCGGACACGGCTCAGGCCCTTCGTATCCCGCGTCCCCAGAGCTCCGCCTGCCTCCCGCCCCGAGTCCCCCGAGTTCCGGCACCGCCCAGCCCCGCCCCGCCGCTGGCCCCGCCCCAGCCCCGGTTCCCCGGGCGGCAGGCAGGCCTGGCGGTAGGTGGGGGCCCATTGCTCCCCGGAGC